GCTGCGGGCTCGTGCAAGGCAAGGCCCCGGCGCCCCTGAAACACAGGTCCTGGTCCAGGCGGTGCAGAGGCGTGATCCGAGGCCGCCTGCCGGGGAGCCAGGCCGAGGTCACTCGGGGAGAGTGTGACGGGCAGAAGGAGATGCCGCCTCGGACCGACGAGGGTCGGGGTTACTCCTGGTTCACTTAGAGGAGTGGAGGGGGATGTTGAAGTCCGTCCCCACACCCCCAGTTCCCATTCCCAAGTGCTGCTAGGGCTGGATGCTTTATCCCCTGGGCACCCTCCCTCAGGCCCCTTCGCCGGGTCAGAAGAAAATTCACCACGAACTGGGCCGGTGAAGAGCATGGTGTCCAGCCTGCTTGCCCCGGTTTCGCTCTCTTTAATACCTACCTGGGTGTGGAGGGGGAGGCCTGAAAGCCCCAGTCCCCCTGGGCCTGCTCTTTTTGGTAGGAGGCATCAGCTGGCAGAGGGAGTTGGGGGCAGAGCTGGTTTCTCCTGTGGGGCCGAGTCCTAGTCTGTCCTGTGCCCCATCCCAGCCACTTCAATGGGGGAGTGGTCACCAGATCTTCAGATTCTCCGCCAAGGACAGACCGGTAAGGACAGGCAAGGTAGCAAGAGGGCGCCAAGAGCAGAAAGGTCAGCTGCTGGTTGGAAACTTGTCCCCAGCATCCAGCTGCTGTTTCCACAGCCCTGGAGGTTATATTCACTTTGGAATCCACACCGCGGAGAGTCCCCTCTCTGACTGCAAAGTTTCAAACACACCTGTGTCTAGAAAGAATCCTGTCACCCTGACCCCCTCCCCTCAAAGTTTAAAAGCCTTGCTCTGGTCTAATGTACTCTTTTGGCTGAGAAACAGGTTCAGAGAGGGAAGGAGAAAAACCAAACTTCCTACAAAGCATAAGACAACCTGTCTGTGCCCTTGTCCTGCTCAGAGCATGGGGTTTAGGGCTCAGGGATCAAAGCCCAGGCTGGGCCCTGCTCCCTGACCCGTGGGGATCCTGAAGAACTCACTGGCCCAGCTCCCTTTCCTACAGTGTCAGTTTGGGCTGTTTCCCCCGGAGTGACTCATGCTGGCTGCCGGAAAGTGGGCAGCTGCTCCGAGCCCCCAGACTCCAGCACAGGCCCTGGCTTGCACCCCCTAACCCATTGTGCAGCCATATTTGGGCATCTACTTTTCTTTCTTGGAGAATCTCCTTCCTCCAATCCCTTCAGCTTTCCCCACCTTCAGCCTTTCCCTTTTTGATGGCTCCTTCTCCTCAGCAGTCTTTTTGCTGTCTTTGAAAAACAGAAAGCCCTCCTTCAATCTCAAATCCCTCTTCAGCTTTCCCTTCTCAGCCAACATTTTTTAAAAGATTGTGTACACACATTTCCACTTCCTCGCCAGGCCCCTGAACTCTGGCTTCCTCCCCCATCATTCCATAGGAACCGCTCCTCAAGGTCACCACTTCGACACAGTCAAAAATACTCCCTCCTGTTTGAGATACTTTTGGGCTCTTGTTTTGGGACACT